CTCGAACAACCTGTAACTCCCCTTCTTTTTTTGTTTGTTTTTTATTTTCACTCCATTGTAACCCCCCCCCCCCCCCCACCCCCCCCCCCCCCCCCCCCCCCCACAGAAAACTCATAGGCACCAGTCTAGCACCAGTAATTATTCTGATCGCTGATTGCAGCTGCAGGCTACGGAAACTCCTGTCCTGTCAGTATCATGTCACCGCCACTTTCATCATACTTCGTACGTCCAGACATCACCCAAGGCGTTGACCGTACCCGTACTACCTATCTATCCATGTTCATGGGATATCCAGAACGCCCCGGTACAGCTTGTGCCTAATGTGCATATCGCTGTAGCAGGCTGCAGGAGACGGGGACTGCAATCTCACCGTTGATATGCCCATTCCTACTACCTACTTACTTCGTAGGTAGGTAGTTAGGCACTCTGTTTGAAGTATGTGGCGTGGCGCATGCAGCCTTTTCGGCTGGTTGGAGAAATCTGCCTTGGCCTTCGCCTTGCTTCGGTGATGGTGGAGAGTCGTAGGTAGGGCCTGGGGGAGCGACAGCTCTGCCTATATATCATTTCCAACTCCTCTCTCCGTCTAAAATTGCAGTGAAAATGGTAGCCTCTGTTTTAAGAGTAGCTACTTTGCGCTCTATGTGTCCACCCGACATTTCAGTGAATGACCATCTCGGGCCATGTATTCAGCCGCAGATGTCATCAAGTCATCCCTCGACCAATTCAGGGAGTTGCAACCCCCTGGTCTATTCGAGAAATTCTTGCAAACACGACTGGACGACCTGAAGATCAAAATCCTGGAGATTCAAACTTCTCAGGAACGCCGTAAATCTTTAACCGATCTCTCAAGGATCATTTTGTTCATTAAAGCTTTCGGTGTATTTGCTGACACGTTCCGTCTCACACAAGAACAGACGGCTTGTGTTTGGGGTCCCGTAAAATATGTCCTACATGTAAGACTGCCCCTGAGTTGTCAATCGCCATGCAGCCCATTAACAGAACTCCAGGTGGTTAAGGACGACGTCAAAGCACTCGATGAGATCCTTCAGTCTTATAAAGGACTCGGCGCTCGCCTACCGTGGGTAGGATCGTACAATGCTCTCGTGATCGAGAAGCCCGAGGTATCCATCTGTCTGGCGTATATGTACCAAGATTTGTTGCAATTCCAAAAAAGTTTATTGAAGCTTTTCAGTGGCCATGACTGGAAAGCAACGTTCCACACAAATTGGAGATACTACCATCAAGACTCTTTCCAGGATATACTTAAAGGCTTCGACCAACACCGAAAGGCTCTGGAAGACCTACTACGAGCTCACCATTACCAGAAGGCCAACGAACATTATCGGATTTCGAGTGATATGTCTCGTCGGCTCAACAACCACTTGCAAAACTATCAAAACGATCGCCAGGACTTAGAGATGCACATACGTAGATACGAAGAGGACCGAGAAAAGTTATTGTCCGACGCAAAAAAACAGGAACAGTACAGAGAGGAGCAGAGGTTTGCTGCTTTCAGGAAGTGGGTGTCGGCAACAAGCCTACAGTGCCGCTTCCACACAGAGTTCACTAGCATGAGAGCTGAGTTTCCAGGAACAACCGACTGGATCGTGAAAGACGGCGTTGTCGAGAATTGGATACACGGAGAACCACCAGAAACGTCAATCTTGTGCTTAAGTGGGAAAAAGGGCGCCGGTTAGTCCAGTCCTCCTAGCTGGTCTATGTGCCACTACACTCACATGGGCCACATGCTAAATTCATCGAGAATAGGCAAGACAATACTAGCATCGCGGCTCATTGACCATTGTAAGGAGCACCGTCCAGATTTTAAAACCAGTTACTTCTATTGCCGTGAGGATGACCCGAATCAAAACAACTGTTTAGCGATCTACAAGTCGCTTCTGATTCAGATGTTGGAGCATTATCCAGACCTACTTCCGTCATGTTATGAGAAGACGCTAAAGGGGAGCGAAATGCTCAATGACGAGACTGTAGCGCGAGCACTCATCGGGCTATTTTGCAACGCAGATATCAGCCACTTCATCATAATCGACGGTGTAGATGAAATTGAGACACCGCAACGCAAGCCCCTTTTGCAGTTCTTTGTCGGGCTTGTGGACAAATGTGATGCGTACAAGCCTGGCAAGGTTCGTGTGATATTTTTTGGCCATGATCTCGCAGCTTATCAACAGCTGAAGCGTATGGAATCGGCTATTGTGATAGAACTGGAGAGAAACGCCGTCCAGAAAGATATACAATTGTTTCTGGCTGAGAAGTCGAAAAGACTGAAAGAAAAGTTTGGTCTGACAGAAGAGGAGCTTCACTCTGCCCAAGCGCGAACAATTGCTAAGTCGGATGGTTGGAATACCCTACAGCCTAGAATCCTTTGTTTGGCAATGCTAACATTTTGACGTTAGGTATGTTCTTATTCGCAACACTTACAATGGAAAACCTCCTCAAGCAACCCACGGTTGAGTGTGTAAAACAACAACTACAAGAAGACTACTTCCCACAGAATCTTCGTGATGCGTAAGTTGGGTCCCGCGTGACAATACTGAAACTCAGTAGTAATTCGACCTCACATGAACATAGGTATCATAAAATCATTGAACGGCTACGCCGCGATTTAGGAGAGAACCAGTGGCTCATGGCAGTCAAGATTTTTGGCTGGTTAGCCTGTGCAAAACGGCCACTAAACTGGCACGAAATACAGGCCGTGTTATGTATGGTGATAAATGAATCTGAAGCATCGTTTGCAATGGATTATCACAATAAGAAGCTTAGAGACGATATTCGGGAGATATGCGGCTCGCTTGTGCAAAAGCTAGGCAACCGCATCATGTTTTGTCACTCGACTGCAAAGTTGTAAGTGCATATAAACTGCTTGGTGACGTGAGCTGTTCTAATATCGATCTAGGCACGTTATTGGTACTCAGGGTCTCAATATGACGTTGATTGAGTGTGATTTAACAACAACCTGCCTACGTTATCTGTCTTCCCAGTGTTTCCAGAGGGGCCTGGATGAGGACCGACTGGAAAATTTTACCCATCAAGGCTACTATGCGTTTCAGGATTATGCTTTAGCAAAATGGGGACATCACCTCGAGGCCGTCATCAGAGCTGGGCCACATGAACTCAGCCACAATGTGGACTATCTTTCACAAGCTATCTTCCAGTTTGCTTCAGTATATCGTGATGAGCTCTCTATTCCCGTTAATACCGAAGAACGAACTCAACGGGCCAGGGAAGATTGTAGAGAATTCATCGGATGCTTTTTTTACGAGCATCTGGTCACTATTTGGGCTCACTTTTCTCATCAGCAGTTGGCTCACTTCAAAGAACGAAACAAGTTGAGCCTCCCTTCACTTAAGACCTCGTTAAAACAGACTCGAGGGATACTGGAAACCATCGGCACTCAAGATGAGATACAGGAGCTTTACGGCGATTTCTTATTCAAATGTGATCGGCTCATTTGCGATTATTTCTATGAGGGCTTCGAGACTAAAGAGGGGAGAGATAATCATTTGCGGAGACATGATCGCCCCTATCACTGCCCAAAACCGGGATGCTCGGTGGTCGCCTTTGGATTTTCGACGAATAAGGATCGTGACAAACATATCAGGCAGTACCACCCTGAAGAAACTACTGGGTCGACATTTATTCAGCTGCCAAGGGAACTTGTCGAGGACGCAAGATTTCCCTGCCCGGATTGTGGACAGACATTCACTCGTAAAGCGAATCGGGACGCTCACGTGAGGAGTCACTACGGCGAGCGGCCATTTGTATGTGATGTATGCCCTAACAAAGCGTTTACCCGATCCAATGATTTACGCAGACACGTCAGAGACATACATTCTAGGAAGAGAGGTTGAAGTGAAATGAGTAATGAGATATATGTCGGATTGGCGTACTCGGCGTTGGGTTTAGACTTGCTGGGTATCGCGGATGGACTTGGTTATTTGCCTTACCGTTGAATAACCACGGCAGGCGGAAAATGAGGAAATGATGCGTTAAGTCCTTCCACCAACGACGGAAGATATCTGGTCTGCAAGGCCCGTTTAAGCTTTATTAGAAGTTGGAACAGGTGGAAGTGGTGCTTTTTCTTCGCCGATACATCATATAGAAGATGTCTAGTTGGGTTTTACAGATAGTCTACTATATACTAGTATGTTGTACTTCGTAATCTGATGTTACCGACTTGCGTGAGGCAGACATAAGTCAGCAACATCATGTAACCCACCTTCAGACTAAATGCCTGCCTAGTCTAAGTGCTTTGAAACGAAAGGCTTATAAACCTTATTACCTAGGTATAGTAAATCACCTGAGGTATCTTTCTTGCAAGGTATGCCACATTCCAATAGGTTCGTACGTTCTTGCTTTTGGAACCACGGTCAACACCTATTGAGACAACTTTTGGTGGTGTTCTCATGCCAAGGCCCGGAACAACAGAATAATGCCGCCACCTGTAATTCAGTGCAACCGGCAGTTGGTACCAAAAGTCAGCGAGTACCCCTCTCATCCGCGCTGTGGTAGTCAGACGTGCATCGGCATAATAGCAATACAAATACAAATGAAGGAAAAGAGGGAGAGGGTGTTGAGTTTTATCATATATATGAATTGCGAGATCACGATTACGATCTCCAAAGTCGCCATGCTATGCGAAAGATGCAAAGGTGTGAGCTTTGAGCCTCTCCTGGCTCAAGACAAGAAGACTGGCTTCTACATCTTGCACCATAGCCAGGAATCGTACTCGCTCTCCCTCACTCAGCGGTGTGCGCTATGTACTCTCATCAGCAGCCAACTAGGCAAAATCGAGGTTGAAGACGACGTATGTAACTATTTAGAAGCATTCATGGTGCTGAAGCGACGATGGCCGTCCGGCAGCGATATAGTCACTGGCACAAGTTCCCCTCCTATTCTTGTTCATAGCCGACTGGGTTTCGGAACTCTGTCAGCCATAGACGCTCTTCCAAGTAGTAGTATCAGAGAGCCCCAAGCTGTGCTCGACTAACGATCGCATAGGTCAATATCGCACCTTGGACTACGAGCACAGTACAAGCCGACCGAGTAGGAAAAGGAAACGGATTCAACTTAATGCATCGGAATCCTTAGAGAACCCTATTCTCAGGCATAGCAGGGGCAGAGAGGCTCCGTTATCTAGAGAACTTCCGCCTCATCATACTGGCTCACATGAGAACATGGAACTAGCCCATCTCTGGATAAAGGATTGTCTTCAAAATCACGACATGTGTGCTATCGGGAGCTCTCACCGACATGTAAATTTTGTGCCTACGCGCCTAGTCGACACCCAAGATCCCATGCGTCCGTTTCTCTTGATAGTCACGGATGACAAAGATATAGAGTATATCACTTTGAGCTACGTGTGGGGCCAAGGTGAGAGGTTTAGGACCACCCGGGCAACCCTTAAGGATCATCAGGACCGCATACCGCTCGAATCTGTGCCGAAAACCTTTGCTCATGCATTTCAGGTTACGCGGGAGCTAGGCTACAGATATATCTGGATAGATGCGCTATGTATCATACAAGACGACAATGGAGATTTGGAGCGTGAGCTGGCTGTCATGGGAGAGATCTACCGCCACGCCACTTTTACTATTTTCGCCGAGGGGGCTCGCGATGTCTTCGCCGGTCTCTTCCAAAAGCGTGACCCGTACCTGTATCAGCCGTGTGTCATTAATATTAACACAGCAACCGGTAAAGATGTGATATCTGAGCAGGTAACCTTGGGCACGATCATCACTGGCCCGAACTACCTAAAGACTAGGGGCTGGGTCCTCCAGGAAGAGATCCTCTCGACTAGAAGCTTGTCATTTGGCGAACAGATCAGCTGGCAGTGTGCAGTAAGCGAAGCATCCGAGACAAGGCCTGCTCCACAGCCCCGAAAGTCTGCATTGAGTCAAGGTAGAGCGACCTGTGAAGACAAACTGAGGTTATGGCTCTACGCTCCTGCACAGATGGGCTGCACGCCGAGGGAAAACTGGTTTAGGTGGAATCACTTTGATGCTTGGTACTCGGTTATGGAAGAATACAGCATTAAGGATTTGTCGTTCCCGACAGACCAACTCCGTGCTCTTTCTGGTCTTGCAGATTTATTTCGAAAAGCCCATCACGCAACATATTTGGCAGGGCTTTGGCGAGAGGACCTTCAACTTGGTTTGGCGTGGTATGTGGCCAGCAATGACTCTCGCATTGTGAGCAAGGCAGGAGATCAGAAGCCATCGTGGTCTTGGGCATCCGTCGGCACAGTCCGCCTCAAGTATCGTTCCTGGGCTGCATTTTCACAGCACATAGTCACCGAGGGTATCGAGGTACTGGATGCTTCCTGCACCCCAGCAGATGAAGCAAACCCTTGCGGAAGTGTGACCACCGGGCTTCTTACGCTTCGCGCGCGAGTGAAGAAGCTAACACTGTGTTGGTCTGCAGAGTACGTCGAAAATAGGACGGAATTTAGCTACGGCGACATGGGGACAGTGACGATGACGAGGGGAGAACACCCGCGGTTTCCAGCCCTCATCATCGACTCAGAGTCAAATCGGTTCATTGGCGAGGCAGCTTTGGACCGGCAAATACTTACTGAGTCTTATGAGAGCGGTAGGAGCACTGAAACATTTGGAGCTTCCAGTACAGAATCCGGGGTAAATCATATCCAATACAAGTGTCAAGTCTGGTGTGCTCTTTTGCACGTACAGAAAACCCCCGACAATGTTCGACATAACACTGCTCTGATCTTGGAACAAGACAAGAAAGACTCTACGACACACTGTCGACTAGGCCTCTTGTTCTTCGATGATCAACGTGTCAAGGGCCTGTCATATTCGGATTGGAACATGGAAACAATTCGTATTGTGTAGGACGACGTGGGAAGAGGTGATTCTGACGTATTGCGAGACAATAATGGTAAGATGCACCAGATGGCCTCCACATACCCCTTACACCTCTCATTTCGTTTATCGACTATCCCCATTACCCAAACGTCATCCAAAGTCGACAACACCAATGACGTAACCCAGCACACGTCTATATAGCGTGGGCCGAGACGGGATCACCAATTGACAATAATACGATTATCGCATTGAAACATACAAACCACCCACGACATTTGACTTAAAATGGGAGTTCCAAAATTCGACACGCCTCGCCGGGCAAAAATCAGAGGAACGGTAGAATTCTTCGAAGCCCACGGGGACCTTGTCGACAAGAAGATAACAAAGCGGGATATCTTCCGGTACTTCGGCGTTCATCATGCTACCGGCCACAGCATACTTCGAGGGAGAAATCCTAAAAGGCGGTGCCTGGGTCTCGATAGCGAGTCAAATGAGACGTTATGGGGATGTTCGGATCCCGATGCGAGGACAATAGAGAACGACCCTCGCTACGACAAGGAGCGCCTCAAGACCCAGTACTGGCACACCTTAGCTGCGCCGGAATACGACACCAGCGAGACTCGGGACGTCGAGATCTTTGGGACGCGCTTTTGGCGCGAGGAACTCTGGGGAAACGCCCAGCGGCGGTTCGCATGGCTGGACCTCGCCATACCCGCCGAACTGAACATGCACTTTTCTCCAAAGAGTAGGATAAATAAAAGGCCATGCAGAAAATATTCAATACTTACACCTGTACCCTAGACCAATCTGAGAATCTCCAATCACGAGTCCCGCCTGAGAAACCCCACCCATCACCACGAATCAGAAGCTCGACTCAATCCTTAAGTGAAAGAAATGTGCACCAATCGGCAAACCGCGCACATTTGCTAGCTATATGAGACCCATTTACGCATAGTTTTTTCATATCCCACACGGGCTTGTGGTTTAGTGGTATAATACTCCCTTAGCATCGTATCAGCTTTCATGCTTCACATGTAGCATGAAATGTCTACAAGCAAATTGGGAGTGGTCCGGGGTTCGATTCCCCGCGAGTCCATCGCTTGGAGGTTCAATTCCTCCTATACCTACCTTTTGCATACTTCTTTTGTTGGTATCAACGTGTGCGTCTCTCTCTCTATCAACCATTGATGTATTTGCTAGAGGTTTTTTTTTTTTTAGTATTCACCATGGTTCTAATATTGAATCAACTCGGGTGTGGTGCTCATTTTTAAGTTGTTCCGTTTTGGATGAAGAAAATTTCCCGCGTGCTGTCTTTGAATATCGTAATCTATGAGTCCTATTAATGTGGCGCTGCTTTGTAGTAAGCTTCCCTATCCCTGTGAGGAGACAGGAGAGGGTGCGTGGTTGTGAACCAGGCAGGTGGTGTAGGCAAATGATGAGAATTCCAATGTACCGGTAGGGAACTTGCAGACAATTGCATTGTGTAATCAAATGTAACAGAAGTAAACAGGCGATTGTATGGGACGAAGGATATCTCTGCCTCGATATTGCAGGCTGTCGAAAGTCTAGAAGTAACGCAGCCAAGCGCCGTGGCATCTATCTATGAGGAATCATGTAGCCCTTTAAACCTTCCTAGAAGAATGATGCGAATACCTTGCAAACACCGTCGGGGAATGCATTATTATAGCCTTATACACACGCTTGCCCCTCGTGCAGCATAAACCTTGTATTACTCTTCGATAAACTCAATCATAACAGTGCCTTGCTTCAAGCCGGCTTCCTCGATAGTCTCGTCCAGTTTCTCGATCAGATCCGCACCTGCCGGCATCGCCTTCAGCTCGAATGTCACACCCTCCTTGCCCTCAAATGGCTCTGCCTTTAGCCATTCGTAGATACGACGGACTGTATCAGCCACTGCGAAACGGCGAATGATGCGTCCCGTAGGATGTCTGAACTGTATTCTCGTTGTTGTTGCTGGGTTATTCTCTGGCTCTATATGTGGGTTGGTTGATGCGATTTGGGAAAAGGCGAGCTCGGCTGGGTTATCAGACCCCCCATGAGATGGTTGGGCCGAGTCACCTGTGAGGTCTACTACTTCATCAGCCTTGCCTTTCCCCTTTCCGGAGTCATCGCTAGACCTCGTGAGCATATCTGGATCCTGTAGATTCGATCCCGATGAGCCATCCTGATTCTCTAAGCTGTTCTGCAAAGCTAGGCGCAGCATTTCGTCTTCTGTCAATCGACCTACGTCGATTTGTTGGCGCTTCGGCTTAGATTGGACGACAGGATTCTTGCTGTTAGACGCCAAGCTGTACCGATCGAGAAACTCGGTCAGGTCACCATAAAGTTCGCCTGCGGAAGGAAAGGGGATTCCGGACCAGACCTTGACTTGCTCCCCGGTCCTAGGATCAATGATGGCAACGTGGGGGAAGTTGTCACCATTCTCGTGGGCACCGTTTGGAAAGTAGAGCTGGACGTATGATTGAGCTCTCAGCTCACGTTTGTCGTATTGCAAGAAAATGAAGTGCTCTTTAATCAAAGCCTTTAAATTCTCATCCTTCCACACGTCTCTATTCAAGACTTGGCATTGAAAGATGTCTAGATCCTGGAGATTAACCATGATCCACTTCTTTTCTTCCTTGCCTTCGTCTCTCGCTTCGTCCCATGTCGCGTCACTCATCAATTCGTGGGGTGGTCGGAATAGATCGCGTAAATGCGCTGCACGGGATGCGCCCTGATCGGATCGCGTATTCGGTAGTATTGGCGGTGCAGAGGTATCATCCCATATTGAGGGCGCTTGATCAAACGGGTTACCAGCGTTGCGGTCTGTAAAGAAGATCAGTATATATACAAGCAATATTCGCCAGAACCAACCTACTTCGCCGTTGTTGACGAGCTCGAAGAGCTCTTAGCTGTTCATCATGATCATCTATTGGCCCCCATGACAGGTCAGGACCGGCTAGTGTTTCTGTTGTCTGAGCTATAGGAGCTCGTATGCCGTCGTCCACAGCACCTGAACCTGATCCGTAAAGTTCTTCTTGTAATCGCCTCGCCATAGCGGCATCTTCCTCTTCTTGGGCATTTCTAGCTACGGCAGCGACATCTTCATGGTCACTGTCGTTGTCGACCATTGGTACATCGTCGTCGTCGGATTCGATTTCTATGACGTCGCGGGAGCTTGCTCGGTTTTCAGGACCGCTGGTGCGGGCGCGAGATGACGAGGTAGCCGGTGCAGGAGGCGCCGAGGACGCAGCGAAGCTCGACTGTAACTCTGGGTTGTCGTAAAATGTCTGAATGGCTTGCATCGCCTCGCCACCTGATATCTGAAGGTAACCTCGTGCAACATCTTGAGAATCCACGCCCGTCACCGTCATGAAAGTCGCAACTTGATCGTCCTCCATGGCGTCCACAATCCACGAGGTGGTGTAGCGCGCAATGCAGATGTTCACAGCCGGCAGCTCGTTCACCCGTCACCCATAGAGGTAGGCAGGAGGCGGTGTGTCCACAGCGGATGTGCAACCGTTAATAGGGAGCGTAGAGGCCCTTGTGTGAAAGCTACACCGCCAAAGCTAGATACTGTGCGGTGATGTCGAGGTAGTGGAAGCGTAGGTGCGATCTCAGAGAGGCAATAGGCGCCGGTGACAAGCTATGCGATGAAGCGTTCTTGAGGTTTGGATGTTCGGTTCTCTCCGTCTCTGGTAGTTAAATAGAGCGACTCAACAAGTAAGTCGACAGGCAAGCTGATGGTGGGGAAAGATGGAAGGGAGCTCCTCTAGGTACAGATGGCAATCGAAGATGTCGTCAGAAGCGAGGAGAGGGGACGTGGGACGTAGTGAGGGTCAAATGCACCATGGATATATATATAGAGAGGGAGAGAGGATAGTAGACTAACTGATCAAGCCATCTTCATGAAGTATGCAGAGAGGGCGAATGGTAACTGGATAGCTTGGGTCTCGGTGGTTCAAACACTCATATCAATGTTCAAGCAGGACGGTTGATGTTTGGAGGGGCTACAGGCGGGAAGTGCCGGGGGCACGGGATAGGTAACACTGTGTTGACGTAGCCAAATGTTGAATGGGACCCGGCTAGACCATGCTACCTACATGTACTTACCTATCCTTTGGGCATGCATAGGTACTTACACCGGGGTAGGTACAATGTAGGTACCTATATACTGAATGGGAGGTACCTCGACCTATCCATGCAGTTCCTGGTTCAATGGTGACATTCCATCTAAGGTACCCTTCATATTCCTTCTTGATCAAACGAAGATATCTCATGGTCTTACTACCTAGGTAACCTACTATTGAAGTTTAGGTAGGTAGATATATATGGCAGCTGAATGGGAAAGTACTTATCTCTACTCAACACACTTTGTGACTGCGTTTCGTACTTTCTAGCACTGTGAGGGGTAGTGCGTTGGCACTGTCCATAATAAGTCCATTTCAATCTCCAACATCTCATTGATTTTTCTATCCATTGCCTACATGCAATCCTACCTCTATTCAGGGAATACAATCAATCTAATCATAGGCATACACTGGAATACCGGTTGCAGCTACCTTGGTAGACATGTACCTAAGATTCATGCGCTGCACTGCCCTTGTCTCTCATAAGCTCAGACCTCGACTGAAACCAGGGTATTTTCACTGTCTCCCACGGGGCCAGCAAACCTAGCAATTGATCATGGCTTCCAAACGTTCACATAAGACAACTACTAGAGAGTCTGAGGCTAGTGACGTTTCTTAGTATCCTCTTTTCAGCAGCCATAGTTACCTAGCAAACCAGGACGTTTCTCATAGTCATGATTACCTAAGAGCATGAGCAAAGTACATGTATGTATGTGGTAATTGGGCCTGTTGTCAATCGCTAGCCCTTTTGGTGTTTCCATTAGCTACCTTATATCAAGAATGTTTGGACTATTCTTGGTCAGGCAGGCAAGGCCTTGACCTACCGCTGGTGAAAGGAATACGTTATCATGATTCAAGTCTCTTGGTGAACATAAAAAACCGGGTCTGATACGTAAAGTCGTCCGCTGCAGTTTGTTGGTTGCTACGATATAAAGTACCTAGACGAAGAAAAGAATTATTACGTGGGCGTACAACGTGCTGTATTAATGTCGATCTGACAACTGGTGCTCCTAAACATAAACAGCCGGCAGAGGTCGCACTACTAGATATATGTTGATGCATATTTCAAGGTAGCCGTCTTGGCTGCTTCATGGCTGTAGGCAATTCCTGTCTACTGCTATAACATTGGCCAGTTGACACCTTTGTCTTGACAATTTAGTCATATCTAGTCTTCCTACCTTAGCCGGTACCCAGCCCAATGGATGCAAGTAAGCATCGAGCGGTTGCAACAACACGGACGCCGGGCCTTGATCCCTCAAGACTCATATGAGAGTAATCCATATCGACATGAGCGATATGGTAATCAATATGAGTGTACCTCCGATCAAAAGTCAAGACCATGCATAAAATTAAGAACGAGGAGGCTAAGGGGGACCACAGGAACTACAGAAAAGAGAACGGGAAAGGAGAAAGGGTGAAAAAGAGTAAAAAGCGAGGCCACCGGATAGGAGACTCGAACTCCTGGCTCAGGAAATTCGCATAGAACATGAGAATCCCGAATGTTAACCCCTACACCAATCCGGTTGGCAGGATGACTTGGAAATCAAGACTAAATGTGGAAGTGATGGCTCTAGGAGATAGGAAGGTGAAGTAGAGGTACGTACCTGATGCTCGCAGGAAGGAAAGTGCGTACCCACGACATTGTACTAACTATATTGACACGGGGAAGTTGCTGCGGTGTAAGGTAGGCGCAAGTGTGTATACCTGCCTTCAGAAAGGACCAGTGGGAGGTCCGGGTAGGTATGTGAGCGATGCCACATATCTAGTTCACTTCTCATCTACCAGATTGATAATACCTACCTATGTACTGTTTAGATATGAAATGTGAAATCAATGGCCTCAACTATGCCACCGGAAAAGAACGACTAAGTATTACTCAAAGCACCTCGTACCGAATAGGATCAGTCTCAGTTAGTCACAATAGGGGTTGGGCAAACCATACACACGAAGATAGAATGCGCTGATCTTGTTTTGACATTACTCCTTATAACAACCAGGGGACTGAATGCCGAGTAAACGACACCGCTTTTTGTGCTATCACCTATGTTGCTGTTTCCAAGTCATTTCCCAGAGCAAGAATGTCTCAATATACAGATATGAATTAATAAGAATCTGGTCAGAGTAGAGTCTGTATGAGAAGCTAGGACTACCCCTCCACAACGAAGCAGAGCCCTGCCCTTTGTGGTGACTCTGCAATCACCACAGGCAATAGGTAATATGGCGTTACAATCCAAAATTGACGCTACATAGAGTCATTACATACCATATATTCGCTTCCAGCCCTAGCTGTGCTCGTAATGAAAGCGTTTAGCTATGCGATCAATTACGACTTATGACGAGTCGAAGAATGACTTTGCCGGCATCGCCCCAAGGGGTTGGCTGGCGAGACTCGTCGGGTCACCTTGTGCCGTTGACTCGAACCATTCATTATGTAACTCAGTAGGCATCATATCTAAAAACGTGTCAAAGTCGCCGAAATCATACACGGGCGGAGTACTGAGCGAAACATCAGATGAAGATATTGTTGTTGCATGCAACGGTAGGCTTGGCCGAAGGGATTCAGGATTCATAGGCATTGCGTCCAAGTTATGGAAGTCGGGACCCTTAGATGGTATCTGTTGCCCAGGACTCATCCACTCGCCCACCAGAGGTGTCGATGCTGGCTGCTGTGCCTGATGGTGCGGTTGTTGTCGTTGTTGCTGTTGTTCTTCTCGCACGCGCCGGGCTCGAGCAATAAGCTGGCCGATGGGTTTCACAAGGTTATCTCCCCGTTCTCCGCCGTCCCGAAATTTTATGAGAAGCCATATGTCGTAAACCGCTGTTGCGTAATTCCACGCTGCGTCACATTCAGGGGAGGGTGGTCGAATACAAATCTCTGATAAGGCAAGAGCTAACGTATGCCATTGAACATAAGTCTTCAGGTGCCACACCCACTGATTGAGGCGCGAGTCTTTCATTATGTCCAATGTCATTTTGAGTATCCTGATTGTGTCAGAGAATATTGTGTCCCGCAAAGTTTTACAATCCAGCTCAACTTCGGAAGCCCCATGACTGGACTCCTCGGCATTGCTGGTACGAAGAGCACCGGATTCTGCTCTATGTTTTCGAGTTTTCAGCTCAGTGTAGTATGCTGAGGATCGGACTCGCGCTGAAGCCATGTAGCAAATTTCTCTTGCAAGATAGTGTAATGGTTGTGCTGGGTCGCACCGTTGTACGTACTTTTCGACCCATTTGTCGTGCTCGTCCATAATCTTGACACGAGTTTGAAAGGGGGCGTGACTGGCACTAAGTATGGTTTTAGTGTAACGCTATTACGTGTTGTAATTATTCCGATGGAAATGGAATTCGCCGAAGTCACGGGACTTGGCGGTGTTTCGTACTGTATTGCAAAGGGACGGCCGGAGGCGCTGAAAATGCTTACCGTTTCATTTTCCAATGAATTTCCAATGCATAGCACCGGACCTGGACAATTGTCATATCTGTAGCGCCCTCTCTCTCACGCGGCAACTCGGTCATGTCACTGGAAAGATCGGCATCATTCACATTGAGCGGCTGGCGAGTTTCGAAGGCTGATTTCTCGAGAACGCGGGGTTCGTAACCGTGGTATTCAGTGCTTCGATGATCAAGTATACATACTTGCTGCCATATACGTCGACGCATCTCAGTTTCGAAGGGTGGAAGATTGAACGCAGTTCCATCTCGGTGTAAGCCCATCGACCTTGCCAAATGAGTCGCGAGTGCGATCAGAGACCACTATAACCGCTGGAGTCAGTAAATACTCTTTCAGGTAAAAGTTTCGGAAGTTCTGCGTACTCCCGAGACACACTTGTGCCCCTAATAGGCAAATATGGCCTCCGGGAGTAACTAGAACAGGGGCAAAGTGGCTCCAGAGGTTGCGTACCACTGTTCTTGTACCATCATCGGACCTCAACACTGATATGTACAGTATAGCTGCCTGCAAAAGCAGCGTGCTGTGAGTGTTCAACAAGTTAGCCCGCGCCAGTGCTTGCTCAGTCGCAAATCTGAATCGCTCGACCATAGCGGACCTTGGCTGGCCTACAAGGTTTTCGCATTGAACCGGGTCCATGCTGATAACTGCCGAATAATATATCGCAAACAACAGTGCCTCTGTTTCTTTGTCGAGCGAGTTGGTTGTGGCGGCAGCACTCCAGAATAAGCGTATTAAGCTAGTTGTATGGAAGATGCGCACTAGTGGGAGAACATTGTCGCTAAATAGTTGAAAGAGCTTCATGGATAGCTCGGTAGAAGGATGAAAGTCTCTTAGAGAGTGACTAAGGGATCGGTAGCCTAGCAAGGCTGCATTTGTGGCCAAAGATCCCGTGTTTCGACGATCTTCATCATGTAACGGGGAGTTCTCATCAGGTTGAGCAGATTCATCGTCACTAAGACGGGACTCGGCAAACATTCCACGCAGTTGCTCGATCTATAAATTGTCAGCCAGAAATCTTGTTTCAAGGAGTATGCTTTCAAAAGGACTTGCCTCCTCTGTCAGATCCGCCCATAGTACGTTACTGACATAACGACTTTGAGACTCTTCAATAACTAGGCGGCCTAATCCCGCAGCTTCGGTCTCTTGGTTCCCATTATCAACCGCGCTGTTGCTTTCTTGAGCTTGGGCGCCTGTCGAGGAGACATGCTCCGAGGTGGAGCCCGACGCTTTGTGCGAGCTTGCTTCGCGGTCCTTTGCCTGCTGCTGCAGGCGTCTAATGGTGGTTTCTAACTGAGAAAGTCGATCCAGTACTTTGGTGTCGACAGCTTGTCGTGACCGTTTAGCAGCCCTGCCTGCCCCGGGCGGGTGCACGCAGTTAGATCCCGCCCTCACACAATTGGAACATGGCTGGCGTCGGTCGCATTTGACCTTGCGTTGCCTACACAGTATACAGCTCCGAAGATGTGTGGGTTGTCCTAGTTGTGCAACTTGGGGGTTGATTAAATCGTCGGCCCGCAACCCCGCAGCCGTTTTATTTCCAGGCGAGTCGCCCATGTTGAAGTTGTCGGCCCGTGGGTATCGCCTCAACAGCAGTCATCATAGTTTCATCCAGGTAGGTATTCAATTGTGCATGGGAACTTCCTCTCACAACGGGCTGCGCTGCTTCTACGACCTTCCCAGCGTTCCTTTGATGTTGTAACGCATCGTTACAGGCATATGCTTACCCGTCTAGGTAGGTCCCGAGGTCCACTCCACGTAGATGCCCTAGCCTCCTTACTGTCGTCAGCTTACTTAGCTATGTAACCTGGCACTTATCGAGATAGGTACTTTTTCACAAGAATGAGCAGTGTGCACATAGTCAGAAGAATATCTTGACTAGGCAGACACTAGGGAGAGTGGCCTGTCAAGTCATTGGAACCTACGCGTGATTGATACTCGAGACACAGGCGAGTCTTCAATATGCCTATAGCCAAGAAATGCATCTCCCTCTATGTAGATAACGAGCAGTTCTTAACCTTCTCCGTTGTTGCCTCTTACAAATCTGATCCTAAGGGGGGAGATCGTGGAGGTAAGCACGTATACATAGCAATGTTACGTCGGGTATATCGTCAACCTCGGTCCGGTACGTATGTTATATGTCCGAAGTAGAAATTTAACGGGGAACGCACAGTCAAGATGTGACCAAACTCGGTAAGCACGTGAAGCAAAGCATGGAGAATCTCGGTGATAATTGAGAGCGCTCGGTTATTTGACATCTCCGACTAAGGGCAGCAGAGGGCAGTAATTACAATAACCCCACCATCCAAGGCATGGTCACTAAGTTTAGTATATTACTCATATATGCACTAATATATAAAGGCGACAAATTATCAGGTACCCAGATAGTATAAATACCTACATAGGTAGGTAGGATGCCCTGCTACCCATAAACCTTATGACGTAGTGTAAGTAGATATTGTAGGTATTCATGTGTTTTGTGCCAGCTTCTGTGGCTTGATTTTGCCGTAGACAACTCCTTCCTAGATAATTGGCCAATCAAAGTTTAGATTCTAATAACATAGAATTGGATCCTACAGGCACCCTTGCAGCATCGTATCTTGTACGGTAGGTAGTCCACGTTGACATATACCTGGGCAGGTGTAGGTCCTGATAGGTACATATGGACATATCCTACGTAGCCTCAGACAGCCAGGACCATCATGATAATACTCTCAAGGCCAATACTACTTTCCAGACTCGCATTCCAAACAAAGCGCCAGCTATATTTCCAGCGCGGCATAATGGGCAGTAGTAACAGCAACAACATATCCCGACGCCCCGAGGGTCCCATCCACTTCGGCCCCTTCAACGTCACAACACAGGTACGCTCAGCAGTAATCCATTTCCTAATTGATACTTAATCAGGTATGCCAAGACTTATACCTCGTACAACCCAGGTGTTCCTGACTACGCCTCTCTCATTCGCGCTGGTGAACCTGAAGCCGCTTCTCCCGGGGCACGTCCTCGTGTGTCCACGCACGCTTCATAAGCGGCTTACAGACCTGTCGGCGGATGAGCTGACAGATCTATTTGGAGCCGTGCAGCGGGTACAGCGGATGCTAGCACGGTACTACTTTTCTCAACCCCAGCCCCAGGATCCCACGCAGACAGATGCAGAACCAGAGGAAATTTCAGCACAGCCACCAGCAGCACCCGAGGCAGGGTCCTTCAATATCGCGATTCAAGACGGTGCTGAAGCCGGCCAGACCGTCCCGCACGTTCACGTCCACGTGATTCCGCGCATCCGTGGCTCTACGGCCAAGGAGACGCACACGGAAGGCGATGCTATCTACGAGTTGATGGCAGCTGAGGCGGGGAATGTCGGCGGTGCGCTCTGGGACAAGGTGATTAAGAGTCGGCCTCAGCCTGGCGGCGGGTTTCCGAGGGTGGAGGATCCAGACCGGATGGCGCGGTCCATGGCCGAAATGGAGGCCGAGGCAGATGCGTATAGAGGTGTGTTGGCGAGCATGGGGGTTCGAGACGGAAGATGAGCGAATTAAGAACTCTTTTACGCTAGAGGAATTATAACAGTATAGACCAAAAGCGAAGATGCAATATCATTAAACGCCGCTATCATGCACGCTTCCAAGCCAAGTCCCACGCTACATCAAATGCCTATAACCCTCGGAGCAACTCGTCCAACATGATCGGTTTCCTAACGGCATTATTCATGCCTTCGTGGTATGTAACCCAAACCTTCGTTTCTGCCTTGCCTAGCACACTTTTGTTGCTAGCTTTCCTCTTATCTGCATTATTCCCATCTGATTCTGACAACGGCCGCACTGCAGCTTGGATTATGCGGCCGAAGAAATCTTTCTTGACCGGTATAGTAGGCAAGGCATTCTCCTTACTAACATTCTCTTTATCGTCAAAAATATAATTGTCTACAGCGTTAGGGTTTGCAGCTTTGTATCGTGCTTGTCTCGCAGCATTATCCCGTAGTATTCTCGCTTTTTCACGCTCTTGGTCTAAAACCTGGCGGACCGCATACCGTGTTGGTGCTTGGGTTCCGTGAACGACAGCAGCCGAGCTCTCAAACGTGCCCAGAAGATCAAGATCACTATCATTTGGTCAATACAAACTCGAAAGAACCGCCTGGTTTGGATTCAGACACTTACGGTTCCATTCGATATACCCATTGTGGTCCTCTACTGAATGGCGAGTCATTCTCGATCTTGCCACGATGAAGTTCAACTCCTACTTCCGCAAGAATCACCGCAGCACGTTGGACCATAATCTTCTCAGATTCCTTTCTGACACTCGCTGTTCCGCGAGCATCCCCGCTACCCCCAACAACTACTGGCTTGACGTCTGGCGAGACCATGCGAATCAAGTATGGCAGGAACTCTGTAGAAACGTCCTCAGCACTACGGAACGAGCGCATTAAGGTGGGTGGGAGTTGAGCCTGCAAAGCCTGGAGCATTGATCGATTTTCTTTCTCTGATTCGCGAGCCGCAAAATCTGCCCTAGGGCCCGAAAATGGAAGAGCTGGGGCTTCGTCATCTCCGTGGTCTCCCCATTTCTTATCATAGCCTCCGTTCGCCCGTCGAATAGGGGACGCAAACAGGTGGTGGCAAGCTAGGATTGGTTGACACAGATAGGGCGCCAACTCCCAGTCCTGACTTCCAAATAGCCGTGAAGAACACGTATCATGGAAATGCAACCATTCATAGGCCTGGTTCGGTTTGCTTAAAAACGAGTCGTCGTTGAACTCGTGAGTTGGATACCCAGCAAAGACCTCGGTGAGTACCCTGTCCACTTCACCGCTGGTTTCAACCATTTCCCGAAGCCGCTCCATGCCATACTTTTTCTGCTGCTCTGAGAAGCCAAGCTGTACCTGGGGCTGTTCGTGTAAATGTTTTGTCGGAGGGGCTATTATGGGAATACTGCCTTTAGGAAATCCAGCACCATCCTGGAAAACACGGGTGACGATGTCCTTGGAATTTCCTCTTCCAACGCCTCTCGCACCACCACCTCCGTGAGCAAGATCACGGACAACATGCTGCTCAACCCATTGCCGGGTTAAGCTCAGGGAGCAATTTAGGGATGAGGATCGCAAGCGACCAGCTACCCATTCACCAACGACCATAATCCCTCGCAAATCACCTTCCGCCGTGCTTTCGGCACCACGCTTGGCATCTATACCACTGCTCATACCCCAAGCTGCCTCGCACAGCTTTCGAGCTGCGTCCTTCTCACATGGAATACCTTCCTTCTCAAAGACGGACTTTAATCTAGTCACTACCGCGTCAATGGTAGGTTTGCCAACATGAATAACCTCAGCTAGAGTCGACTGCCGTAAAGGTCGCAATGATGGATGATATACGTCATTACAGATGAGTATGAGAGGCCGCATTTGACGAAAATCATCCCCCTTCTTTTTGCGATGGGCCGATGGGTGGGCCTTTGGTTCTTGTCCCGCTGAGTTCTTTTCGCCTACAGTAATCAGGTCCATCAATGCCTTGATAAAGCCTCCTTCTCCAGAGCCTCCAGACCCAGTCACCACGCCGTCGACTTCATCAACCACAACACAAACAGGGCGGGCTACTTTCTGGTGCTTGTCCGTTTGAGTCTTTGAGTGTTGAACAGACTTGACATTCTCTGTCCCAAGACTGGTCCGGATTCTGTTTTTCACGACGTCTCGGCTGCGGTCGTCGCTAGCATTGATTTCCATAACTTCGTAGCCTGCTTGTCGTGCGCAGACATGTGCCAGAGTGGTTTTGCCGAGACCAGGAGGACCAGTCAACATCAGAATTTTTCGATGCGGCTTCTCCTCTTCGGCCTCGACTTTCGCTCCCGGGCGTCTGATAACAGGACGAGATCTGGAAGTACTGGGGAATACGATTGGATCCCACTTCTTCAACCACCTTAGAACTTGGCGATTTGTCATGTCATCCCCAACCAGGTCCATGAAGTTCCGAGCACGGTATTTTTCGGTCCACAGTAGTGTCTTTTTCGGTTTCTTGCCCATGTGTTCTTCTATTGAAGCCAATGGCTCGTCGGGCATCGGTGCTGGTGTTTCATCTTGCTGCGCCAGTTCCTTAGAGACCGTATCGATCAATTCGTGAATGTCAATGCCGTAGTAACTTCGCTCCGCACGTCCCTTCTTCGTTTTTGACCTTGCAGCCACCATGCGTTCGTACGAGACTTCGGTATTAATCCTTCGTGTCTTGATTTCGAAAGTTTTGCCTGAGCAAGTCGTGATTTGCGAGGCATTTCGGGGTAGAAATGACGAAAGTCTGCCAAATATCGAAGGATCATTCGATGTGAACGGAGTACTCCCGCTAGATCCCTGGGTATGTGCGTTCAGTTGGCTGAGCTCGAGCGGAGCGGGAAATAGATCAGTAGGTTCCTCAGATGGGATAATTCGAGGGCTACTGAGCATTTGGCGCTTTGGCGCAGGTTCTAAAGGCGTACTCTCGTCATCCGAATCATCATCGAGGAGAAACCCAGGCTTTCCGCGGGGTCGTGCTTCAGTGTCTGTATGCGGTGCTGGCCGCTTTTTTGCTGCCGAGGGCGAACTTGCAGGATATACTACAGGGGAAGAGAGCAGGGACATTTTGACAATCTAGTTGGAAGGGAACAGCTAACCATCGCTCCCAAAACTTACGTATCTCCTATTGCTGGCTTGAGGGTGGTATCTATAGCAATTGGAGGCGAAAACACGGATGGCGCGTCCTGGCGCGTCCTGAGCTGCAGTGGGAGCAGCTACGTGCATTATTGCGGGTCTCAGCTATAAATCAATTAAAGTCCGGCGGGTTACGTGTGAAGAAAAGAACCGTGTGAATAACAGTGCGTAGCGGTAACAAACAGGTAACAGTGTAACGGTGGGCGGTAGGTATGCTAAAATTCCTATTGAATGTCACATACGAAGTACTTACCTGGTACCCAAGTACCTAAGTACCTACCTACATACCAGGACATACTCAGGACATATCTTGGGTAAGTAGGTAACAAAATGAAAGTTATATTAAATAGCCTTATATTATCACTTTAGCTTCCATTTTAACTCCATATACTTTTAAGACTTAATTATATTAGCCCTTAACTTATACCACCTTTATTTTTTTAATATAATATTATTAATATATAGTATTTTTATATTTATTATATTTATAATTTACTCTTTAATTAATTAATAAAATAGCTTTAATTAAAATAGTTATATTATTAAAAAGTTTTAATTTAATATTATTTATAGGTTATTTTAATTTTTTTAAATTCTAATAGGAATAATGTTATAAAACTTAATAAAATTAAAGGTAAATAGAGGTATATTTAAGCTTAATATACTTTTATTTATCCATTTAAGTAATTTTTAAATCTTTAAACCTTTTAACCTTTTATTATAATTAATAAAGATTAATAACCTTTTATATATAATAATTAACCTTTTTAAAACTTTCCTATTACTTTAATTTATAATTAAATAAGTTAAAAATAATAATTTTAATATTTTAAAGATTTATTACTTTTTTAACTATTTAATTTATATATATTAAAAGTAAAGTAATTTTTAATTAAAGTATATCTTATTATTATTTATTAATAAAAATTACTTTTTTAAATTATATTAATGCTTTATCTTTTAAAACCTTTATAATTTAAATAAAAACCTTTTAAAAGCTTTTTTAAAGGTTTATAAAGTTTTTAAAGTAATAAAAAAAGTTAATAAATAGTTAATTAACTTACCTTTAACTATAATTATTAATAAGTTAATAATTATATTTATAAGCTATTTAATTATTATTACTTTTATTAAAGGTAAATTAAATTCTTTAAGCTTTAAAGTTTAAACTATTAATATATAAAGTTATATTATTAATTAATTATAATATATAAATTATTAAAGGTTAATTAAATTATTAATTTTAAAGTTTAAGCTTTAAAAAAATGCTTTAAAAGTTAAAAAATAATTAAAATAATTTAATTTAATATAATATATTATTATAAAACTATTATAAAGACTTTTATATTAACCTTATTACCTTTTTTATAATAATCTTTTTATTTTAATAAAGCTATTAAAGTATTTTAAAGATTATATAAGTTATAAGATAATAGTTATTATTAAAAATTATATTAATCTTTTTAAAGGCTTTATTAAAGTTAAAAAAAAAGATAAAAATAAAAACCTATTACTTTAAAATAACCTTTAATATAAAGCTATAAAAAATAAAAAAATATAATAATTTTTATTATATAAAGGCTTTACTTTTAAAGATAAAGCTTTATATAATAGTTAAAATTATATATTAATTTAAATATAAAGAAGAAAAAAGAACTATTATATAATAGCCCTCTTTAATTAAGTCCTTTATAGATTAATAATAATTATAATTTATAAATTAAATAGTAATAGCTATTAAAATTAATAAATATATATAAGTATAATGAATTGTTTAATAGCTTTATATATATAAGATATATAAATACTTATTATTATTAATTATAATTTATAACTATTCCCCTTTAAAAAAAATAGCTACATTTATATAAATTTAAATAATAGGTCTTTAAATTAATGCTTTTTAAATAAAGAAAAAATACCTTTAAGTTTTCATTTATTAGTTTTAATTAAGGCTCTTATTCGTTATATTATATAATAAGTTTTTTTATAATTAATATTAAAAGGTTTCCTTATATTTATAACTTATATATTAATTTAACTTTATTATTTTATATTTTATTAATATATTCTTCTTTTAATTATTATTATTAATTTATTATTATTAAAGTATTTCTTATTAAATTTATTATTCTTTATAACTTATAATTAAGCTTTTAATTATTTAAATAGTTTTATAAAATTTATATTTATATTATAAAATTCCTTTAATGATTTTATATTATTTTTAAAATTTTTAATTAAGTATTACTTATAGTTTATATTTTATCCTTTTTAATTAACTTAATATTATAACTTTTTATAATATATTTATAATATAAAGATCTTTTTAATTATAAATTCCTCTTTACTTTTAAGCTTAATAACTTTTCCATTAAGATTTTTTATTACTTATTTTAATAAAGAATTATTTAAATACTTTTATAATTAATTAATATAATATTTATTAATTATTTATTATATAAAAGGAACCTTTAAAGTATAAGTATTATTATTATATATTAAAATCTTAAACTTTTATTATATTATTAAATAATTTAACTTATTTAAAAGGTAATTAATTTATTAAAATTATTACTTTTTTAAAATAAATATATAATTATTTATATTAAAGTTAAGCTTATAATAAGATTTATTAACCTACTTTATTATATATCTTTATATATTTATTATAATTACTTTTATAATTTTTATAAATTAAATAATTTTTTTAACTTTAATTTATATATTTTTATATAAAGCCTTTTCTTTTATAAGTAATTTAATAAACTTTTATTTTATAGTTTTATTTTTTTAATTAAAATTAAATAATATTAAAAATCCTATTTTTACTTTATAAAGGACTATTTTTATAAATTAATAAAGTAAAACTATTTATATATAATTTATAATTAAAACTCTTTTTAATTAATTATTTTAATAATAATTTATATATAGTTATAAATGTTAATTAAAATATTTATTTATAATTTTAACTTAATTAATAATTTTATAATATTTAAATAATATTAATATATACTTTATATTTATTAAGTTATATAATTTATTTATAAAGGTTAATATAAATTATAATCTTTAATTAAATATAATTATTATAAGTATTTTAAATACTTTAAAAGGTCTTTTATAATATATTTTAATAATATTAATAATTATTATATATATTATATATAAAATTATTTATATATACTTCCTTAATTAATTTATTATAATTAATATATTATTATATTTATATTTATCTTTTAACATTTATTTAAAATCCATTATTAAATACCTTTATACCCTTTTAATTATAAGTAAAAGCTTTAATATATTTAATATTTTATCCCTTAATACTTTAATTAATTTATACTTTAAGCAATTTATTATATATATATTATAATCATTATTAAGCTTTAATTATTAATAATGTATAACAATTAACCTTTTAATTTTTATATACTTTAAATATATTATAAGTATATAATTATAAGCTTTTTTAATTAATAATATATATAAATAATTAATGTTAAATATTATTAACCTTTTATTATAAATAATAAAGCTATTTTAAATTATTTATAAGTTATTTTTATAAGTTTCTTTTACTTTTTATTAATATATATTTATTTTTAAATCTTTATAATTTACTTTTAAAACTTAATCCATTAATTTATACCCTTTTAAAATATATTTAATTTAAAAGATTAATATTAACTTTAATAAGGGGTATATTTTATATAATATTATTAAGTATAACTTATAAAATATAATTAATTATAAGCTTAATAAAGTTATTTCCCTTTTTTAAAAAAAGAAAAGGTTAATTATTAATTAAAATAATATAATATATAAATAAACCTTTTTCTTTTTTTATTAAATATATAAGTTTTATTATTTTTATAATAATAAATTAACTATTATATTTTTCTTATTTAAGTAATATATAATTTTAAAATTATACTTTAAAAAGAATATTATTTAATAAATTTATTATAGGTTTAAATATTACTTTATATTAAAATACTTTAAAGTCTTATAGTTTATAAATATTATAAATAAATTTCTTTATATATTAATAAGTTTAATTTTTTATTTTTTAAAAATTAATATTATTATTAATATTTTTTTATTATATATAATATAATTTAATTTAATATTATATATAATTTTAAAAAAAAACATTATTAAATATTATTTATTATTATACTTTTATAATAAAACCCTTATAATTATACTATTTAATATATTAATTTTTACCTTTATAAAGAAGTTATAATTAAAATGTTATAATATAAAAGTTATAGTTAAAAGTTCCTTTAACTTTTAAAATACTTATTTATAATTATCCATTTAAATAAATAATATATCCTTTTTTATTAACCGGTTTAAAGGCTTAATAATTTAATTATTATTATGATTAGGGGTTTAAGGCATAGCTATATTAATGCTATAGATGAAGATTTTAAGTTAAAGAAGAAAGGAAGGAAAGATAAAACTAGAATATAAGTGTATATAGAAATATATATATACCTATAGCTATTATAGGTTATATAACCTTATTAGTATAGGTTTTATATATTTCTATAATATCCCTTTATAATATATATAATGTTTTAATATAGTATATATTTAATACGTTTATTATATTTCCCACTATTAAAATTAAAATATAGGCGTAAAATAGGTTAAAGAATTATTTATAGTATTTAGTTTTAATTATAATGCTATTTTATATAGTAATATTATTGTTAGGGTAGTTGGTAATGAATTTATTAACTATTATAGCTTTTATTTATTTATTTAACTATTTAAATAGTTTTAATATATTAGGTTATCTTTTATAGAACTTTTATATTTTAATTAATAAGTTTTTAAAATTCTTTATTAAGTATTAAATATTATTAAAGTTATAACCTTTTTAAGTAATTTAATATTATAATATTTTATTATACCTTATTATTTATAACTTAAATAGCTATTTAACTTCCTATTCCGGTTTTCCTTTAATATTTTTAAGTTTTAATAACGGTTAGGTTTATTAAAGTAATGAGTCTTTATTTGCTTTATATAGTCGATTTATATAGAAAAGGTTAGTTATTTTTATTAACTTTAAAAGGTTTAATA